ACGCAGTCGGGCCGCACGGCCGCGAGGTCCCAGTCGTCGAGGACCTCGACGTCGCGAGGGAGCGCGGCGTCGGCGACGGCGTTGAGGCACCGGAGCCGCTCGGCCGTGCGGCAGCTCCACGAGTCCGGCGGCCGGGCGCCCGCGCGGCGGAAGTGCGTCGGGAGGTTTCTTCGCCAGAAAATCCGGGGCGCGACGCCGAGGAACGCGTCGACGTGCGCCAGGACGCTCGCGCGGTAGTCGGAAAGGACGGTCTCGCCGCCCACGGACGCGGCGACGTGGAGGCCCTTGTTGATGACGACGACGTCCGGCGTACCGCCGCCGACCGCGGCCAGGTGGCGCGTCGCGTTGAGCCGCCCGCCGTCCCGCGGCTCGACGCCGAGGTCGTGGCAGAGCTGGCTGATCCGCAGCCCGAGCGTCGGGAACGTCGCGTCCGGGTGGACGTGGCGGTCGCAGCGCATGGGGAAGAGCGGCGAGCCCCGGCCGCCGTGCGGCGGCCCTTCTCGCGCCGCGGCCTCGCCCGTCGCCCGCTCGACCTCCGCGACGACGTCGGCCAGGAAGGTCCGCGTCATCGACATGCCGATGCCGTGGATCCACAGGTTTCGCAGCTTGTCGACGTCGTAGCGCGGCGCCGGCGCCCAGGCGAGCCTGTTCTCGGACATGGCCCAGCCCGGCGCGCTCCCGTTCCGCTCGGCGGCCGCGACGACGCGGACGGCGACGGCGAAGAGCCGCGCGCCCGCGACCTTCGTCGCGCCGGCGTCGCAGCGGCCCGCGGCCTCGCAGCGGTCGAAGTCGACGCTCGCGGACGTGACGTACCTGCCGGGCCCGCGCGTGGGCACCGTCGCGCGCCAGCCGCCGGCGGCGGCGACGAGCCGCCCCGCGGCGACGCCGCCGCCGTTGCCGCCGTGGGCCTCGACGCGCGGCGTCGCGCCGTAGCCGCGCGCGCAGTCTTGGTCCGTCGTGCGGAGCTCGAGGTCGAAGGTGAACGACGCGTACGCGGGCACCGCCAGGTCGGCGAGGCGCCGCGGCGGCGCCCAGGCCGCGTCGCCGGCGAGCCGCACGACCGCCGAGTCCGCGCCGCAGACCGGTCCGGCGACGGACGCGCAGAAGGCCACCGTCTCGCAGCCGGGCAGGTCGAGGAGGTTGGCCGCGGCGATGGGCTGCAATAGGAGCGGCACGCAGCGGCGCATCACGTCGGCCGCGACGATGGGCTGCAATAGGAGCAGCACGCAGCGGCGCATCACGCGGCCTTCTTGACGCGCCCTCGTCGCACGCGCCGGTCGAGGATGGCGAAGGTGGTCACACAAACGGCGACGATGATCACCAATTCGTAGAGCTCCATGTCATCTAGAGGCGCATCGATCATTTGCCCATCATTGAGCAGCCCCTTCTTCAACTTTGTTTCCTGCATTGTTCACCCCGGCCTGCAGCCCCTTCAACTTTGTTTCCCACACCCGCGACATGACGAGGGGCAGCCCAGGACGATGACGACGCTGGCCGAGTCCGCGATGGACCCGCTCGAGTCGGCGTGGCGGGAGAGCAGCACCGACGCGCCCGGGGTCGGGGAGAGCAGCGCCGACCCCGCGGCGGCGGAGGAGGAGAAGACGCCCATGGGCCCGCAGGACCTCGACAGCGGTGCGCGCGCCCGCCCCGCGCGGCGCCCTCACCGCGTAACCTTTAGGCTCGTCCGTGGACGGCGACGGCGAGCACGAGGCCGTCTGGCAGAGCATCGCGGAGCCGAGCTACGAGGAGGGCTGGCGCATCTCGAACGTCGGGGCCCCCGAGGTCGAGCCGGCGCTCGCGCGACGCCGGCGCCCAGTCAGTCCCCGTCGCATCGACGCCGAACCATCCGTCTGTAGGACATCGAGAAGGCCTACGCGACGACGCGCGCCGCGGCCGCCGCGACCTGGGACAACTTCATCAACGCGAAGATCGAGGAGGGCTCCGAGGTGCCAAAGTACCCGATCCTCAAGTACGCGCTCGGCGGCTCGTCGGCCGGCGCGGCGCCGGCGGACGCGGCGGCCCCGGCGACGCCCGCGCGGCCCGAAAAGGCCGCCGCGGCGCCCTACACGCCCCAGAGCTACGAGGACGCGCTCGCGCTGACGGACTTCATGAAGAGCTTCGTCGCGATGCTTCAGGCCGGCTTCCGGCTCATCAAGCACGACGCGGGGGCGCGGCGCTCCCACGTCGTCACGCTCTCCGAGGACTGCCGCGTCATCTCCTGGACGCCGGCCGCGGGCGCGCCGGCCCTGGACAGCTACTACGTCGGCGGCTTCCGCGTCGCGGAGCTCCCCGGCGGCCACGGCGACGCCTGCTTCGCCCTGTCCTTCCCGGCGGCGGTCTACGTGCCGGGCGTCGTCAAACCGGAGAAGGCCCTCGTCGTCTTCGAGACCGTGAACGCGGCGACGCGGGAGCTCCTCGTCGACGGCTTCCAGCTCCTCTCCGAGCACGCGATCTCCAACTTCTTCACGTCGTCCGAGTTCCGCGTGCCGCCGGGCGCGCGCAAGAGGAAGTAGGGTGGGGGTTTGTGTGTCTCATGTCGAGCGGCATGCTCCCGCGCCGTAGAGCGCCGTAGACCCGCGCCGCTCTTCGAGAGCCCGCACGGCGCCCGGTCGGAGGATGCGCGAACGTTACTATGTGCAATTTCGCCCCGCGCGCGGGTCCGCGGCGCGGGGTGCGACAACTCACGACTCGAGGAGCTCCGCGGGCGGCGGCTGAATGTACGTCGCGCATTTGAGCGTCTTGCAGAGCTGCTCGAGCTCGACAAAGTAGGGCCGCCGCCGCGCGAACGCGTCGCCCGCGACGGCCTCGAACTCGTCGTGGGACAGCTCCCGCTCGAGCCACAGGACGCGCCGGATGAGGAGCGGGAGGGCGAGCTCGCGGTATCGGGGGTTGACGTGCGTTACGTTGTTGGATAAGAATCGGAGCGGCAGGTACGCCAACGACCGCTCGATGAGCTCGAGCGGCAGCAGGCCGAGCTTGCTCAGGTCCGGCGTCGCCGCGTCGGTCTCGTCTCTTCGTCGTGCGGCGCGCCGAGGGAGGAAGGCTACAGCTGCTGCCGCGGAGCAATTGCGGCGTCGCAGCGCGTGCGTCACTACGGCACTGTTTCGTTGAGTGTTGTCCTGTTCCCCACTCGAATCGAGTGAAACCTGGTCACTTATTGCAACCGATTGATCTCGCGTCATATTCACAGTTACTCTGATCTTGTCGCGTCTCTGTGTGTGGCTGCTAGTGGCACATCTTCGGACCTCGATAGCAACGCTCGCATCAGACGCTGGTTCAACTTTGGGTGGTGACGACAACGTCGACGTTGAACAGACGCGCGGTTTGCTTTCGACGCGATGGTCAGTGTCTTTCGGCGTTTTGGGGCGTGAATTGAGGGGCGGGGACATCGGGGTGTGTCATAAGAGAGTGTGCATATCGTCGACGCGCTACAACGCGTCGCGCGCGTCGCGCGCGCGCCGTCAGATCCCGTAACGTCGTCGCGCGCCGCGCAACGTCGTCGCACTGCGCGCGCTGTCGAGAGACGCCCCCCGACGCGCTACGCGCGCCGTCGAGAGACGCCCCCCGACGCGCTACGCGCGCCGTCGAGAGACGCCCCCCGACGCAGATGTCGCGCCGCCGCCTCTCCGGAGGCGCCGCGCTCCTCGCGCCCGGCCTCGACG